CACAAAGACATTTTTCCTCCATGTATAAATCACAGTACAGTTGTCTAGGGCAGTGGTTCTCAAACTTTATTTTCTGTGGACCACTTGAAAATTGCTGAGGGTCTTGGTGGACCGCTTATGATCTTTCCAAATGTTGTTTGTACCGTTAGCTAACTATTGTAAAGTGCTTTGGATAAAAGTGCTATACAAAGAAACCTTAATAATAATTGACTTTTTTGTTCTACAAATGAAAGCACACAACTCATATTTTAATATCGGTAGTCTTACCTTTCTAATGAGATAGATGTGCCCTCTCTCCCCTGCCATGGCAGCTCCCGAGTTGGGGCTGGGAAGAAGGGGGTTTCCTGTGCTGCGGCAGCCACAAAGTTGGGCTGGGAAGGAGTGGGGTCTCTCCGCAACAGCCTTGGAGCTGGGGAAAGTCACCTTTTTCTCTGGCCACCACAGTCCTACACGTCCCAAATTCCCTCCCACCCCTCTTCGAATTCCCCTACCACCTACCCTCTATTCCCCCAAGGCCACCACCTCACCTTACATGTGCATCTTCTCCAGGGTCCAGGCACCTAATTAGTGGAGCCATGCCTGTGTGGCTCTACTAATTAGGTGGGTGGTCCTTCATTCTCTTGTGTGCGGCCACCCAGGCATGCACCTTAGGGGGAACTATCCGCGGACCACCTGAATGGAGCTTGCAGACCACTGGTGGTCCACGGACCACGGTTTGAGAACCTCTGGTCTAGAGCAATTGATGGGTCATTGCCTTCCTCTGAGGCATCAGGTATTAAGCACTACTGGGGACAAGAGTGGTCCAGATTCTGCTTTCCCTTATACCAGCATAAACCCCAAGTTGTTTTCTGCCAGAATTGGGAAATGACTAAACCCAAGCAAGACTTCATTTATGTATGTTGCTTAGATGGTATTACAAATCCGGTGCTGCTAAGGCCACTGGACCCTGCAATACCTCATGCTCTTCTTGCTAACTTCAGGTGAATGTCTTCTCTGTAGCAAGGCTTCAACTTCCTGAGTGTTGTTACAGGGAAAAGGCCTATTATTTTTCTTTCGTTATTATTTGTGTGACCATATAAAACATAGGAGACCTAGTCACGGACTGTGCTAGGTGCTCTATGAGCACAGAACAAAAAGATGTTAGCTGCCCTCAATCTAAGCATAACACATGAGACAATAGACGGAGACAGACAGACAGAAGGGGAGTACAAGGCAACAATGAGACCCTATTGGTGAGCGTGTTAGGCTGTGGTCTTTGCACACCAGCAGCCTAGCCGTTGTCAATTTTTTTGGCAGGTGTCCTGGCAAAAGAGAGTTTAAGGAGGGACTGGAAAGGCCAAGAGACTGGGCATGATGGAGGGGGCTGATGGCAATGTTGAAGGAGATGGTCGGAGAGGGAGAACTCTGCAACAAAGAGATCAGAGACAATTTAAACAATATAATGATATAAATAATAGAAGAAAAATAAAAAACAATGGTTGTGATAAGATCTCTGAGAGTTCATGTCTCAGAAACTGAGAGAATGCTATGCAAAGAAAGAGATCCTGTTGGAATGTATTGTAACGATATATTTAAGTGTTTTGGTTCCTTGCAGACCAGTATAGAGTGTACTAAAAGTATTTACAGTCATCACCAGTACTGCACACTATTTGTATCTGCTGTTTTCTCATTGCTGTAACAAATCTTTCTATATTGGTCATATCCAGATCGCTACTGCCAATTCATTCTACCTGGGTTTCTAGGTATTATTCATCTCCTGCTATAAAATTCCAATTGTGTATTCATATTCCCTTACATGTAGTTTGCTTAGCAAGTGCACTTCATAATATAGATATGCTGGATAAATACAGAAATTGCACAGCAGAGAGGTCTGTGTAATATATATATAATGTCATTGTTGACATTTGACTAAAATACTAGGAACTCTGTTTAGAGGTTAGACAATAAGACCGGTAATTAGGATGTGTCCCCCCCCCTCCGTTTTTATTATTGGCTCTGCCACTGACTTCCTCATTTGGAAAATAAGGGTGGCAATTCTTATCTCAGATACATGTTTGAGGATTCATTTTAGATCCCATCGATATGCAAAGAATTATTGTATTACGAGATCTGAAATACCAGTTTCCATTACGGTTTTAAATCTCAGTTTGGTTTTCAGATCATGGACAAAAATCTGTATGTGGGAAGAAAAGTAGTTGTAAGGATAAAGCAGAAAATGTTCCCTATTTTGGGGGGGGAGGCGGGGGACGGGAAGTTGTACAGTAAATATTTCCAGACATTGTCCTATTAAAATTTGTGTTGGAAAAGCTGCAACAATTTTGCGGGTTTAAGGAAATGTACCAATGTTTGCCGACATATCAAGAATTCTATCTGTAAATTCTGGGGTGCATAGTAATTGGAACTAGTTGAAAATTTTCCATGGGAATATTTTTATGTTGCAAAATGATGATTTGTTGAAACAGAGTAATTTCAGGGGAATGTGTTGATTTTTTGACAACATTTTCCCTTTTAAAAAATGTTTTAAAACAAAACACTTCAAAGAGGTCAAAATATGCTCTTTCAATGTATTCAGAACAGAACATGTTGATTTTTTATTTTGAAATGACTTCTCGTTTTAAAATGTATTATATTATATATATTTTAATAATAATTAATAAACAGATCATAATTGAAACAAAACATTTCAAATTTTTCAATATTCAGTGAATTGAGTCCAAACACATTTTTTTGGAATATTTCGGCTCACAAACAATTATGACTTTTTGTCCTGAATTGGGATGAAACAAAATCTTGAAATCTCAAATTTATTTGTGGCATGAAAAATCCATTTTCCAGCCAGCTCTATCAGTCATTACATTGTGGGGCCAAAATATAGGAACACAGAGAGTTGGTCTGATTTTTGGGAGGCTTCATGAGAAGGGAAGGAGTGGCTAGTTATGGAGTTTTGGCTAGCTGCATGCTGGGGAGCTGCAGAGTATGGTCAGGATTTGTCCACCATCAGTCGTGTGGCTAGAAGCTATGAGGAATATATTTTCCAAACAGGATGACTTTCAATGAAATAAAATACACCACCTTTAGAATCCCTGGTACCTGGACTCTTATCATTACAGGGCAATTGCATTGCACAGCCTATCCCCCAATGTTATTCAGAAAATCAATAATATTGGGGTCTTCCTGAAACCACAATACTAGAACTTATTTTGGGGATTTAATGGGACGTCGGCTTAGAAACCCAAATGTGTATCTATATTGCAGTGTATCTCTGTAGTTAAAGAGAAGGTGGTTTTTATGTATGTATTTTGGATAAGCACAATTTTTCATTTAGACCCAAGAATCATCGAGTACTTAGATAAGAGTAGCATGGTTCAGTGTAGCACTGTCTACAGACGTCAGTGAAAGAATAGAACTCTGGATTGTTTTATTCCCTTGCACACATCTATTCTCCCTTCTACACTTGACAGAATTCGAGGTATGCAGTGTTGTAGCCATGTTGGTCCCAGAATATTAGACAGATAGGGTGACTTGAGCGAGGTAATATTTGAAGTATATGTTCTCTTTCTCTTGGCCAGTGTAAATCCCAAGGGAGTCAAGGAGAGTTTTCTGTGCACAAGAACTTCAGGATCAGAACCATGTTTGAGTATGACTCTGACTCATTTTAATGGGAGCTACCTGCATACATCAAGAGAATAGACACTGAAACATTCATGTTAGAAGGAAACATTTGCATACCAGTATCACACAACACTCTAAAGTTTGCCAGTCCTTCCTGTTAACAGCACCACTTTTAGACTTTTGTTTTCTGCGAAATATTGATCACTCTGTCCCATTTGCCAGAATCGGAACATGCTGATTCTTGTTAGACTGCCCTAAAACACAGCACAGACTAGTTTTCCTGAGACATTTTCTTACATAATAGCACTGTGTGAAATAAATCTGGAATAATGCAAGGCTACTGGCAGCTGACTCGTGTACTATGATATCTGTAATGCTGCTATTATGGTTAATCTCTGGAGAGTGGAGACTACTCCGTCTAAGACAGCAGCATCAAGGCTTTTATAATGTCATGTACTGAAGGGTTTTTTCAGTTATCCTTGTCCTCAGTTGGCCTCATTTTCTCTGTCCTCCCCTACCAAAGGTCAAAAACATTTAGGGCCTGCATGTGGGACCCTTACACTGAGATGAGTACTTTCGGGTGTAGACCCGTTGACTTCAATAAGACTACTTATGTGCATGAGCACTTACACAAGAGTAGCACATCAGAGCATGTTTGAATGACTACCCTTTTCTGAGCTATTCATCACTCTGTCCATCTATTATTGACTTTCTTTTAATGGTCCACATTTAAAGCAGTTGTAGTTTGTTTTCTTGATCAAGTATTGTCTGTAATACATGAGTTTTTCCCCACCCGTCCCATTTGAAACCTGATCCTGTGAATTGCTAAATTCAAGGCTCTTGGTAAATAGCATAAATTATTGTCTATGAAAACTTATGTTAAGATCCTAAATGATGATTGTTGAGTGGGAGAGCTTGATGCTGTGGGATCAAGGAAGACAACAGATCCTGTCTGCAGCACATGTTCTTCATCAGATGAGAGAATTTTGACACAGCATACCAGACAGGAGAGAGGTCCACTCTCAGGTTTGGGTGTCTATTTTTTTAAAAAAAATCTTCCATCTAATGGATAATGATTGAAAGTCTTTGCAGAAGGAGTGTGTGTAACCCCAGCTGCCATTTGGCACACCGATCTATAATATACAGAGACGCCCATTGGTGTTTTGTCCAGTGCTGTGCCAAGGGACTTCATCCTAAAATATATTTTCTGTGTCAATACTTCTAATCTTTTCCAGAATGCTGTTAAACTGGGCACCATTCCCTGGCTTGCCTCACACCTTGACCTTTATCTGAATATACTTCAAATAAGAATTAAAGTTAGAGAAGGTACTCACCTCTTGCGACATTAAGATGATGAAATGTATTATGAAAAACAAATCTTTACTTACCTTGGAGATGGATTCTTCCTGCAATAAATCCTCTGTGTGACACAAACCAGTGATGAATATTGCAACTGCAGCCCTGGCTTCTACAGTGTGACAGGGCAGCAATGAAATCCATCCCTCAGTACTTTTTATTTGAAGTGGGGGTAACATAAATCCTTCATCGTATCAAGGCTATTTTGAACAGAACTAGTAGAGAGATAAGATCAGCCTCATTTAATGAACTTTGCAGCCCCCTGCCTGAGATGACCATGAAACACAGGCCCCTTGAGAGCATGCCTCCCTCCCACTCTGGCAGATACCACAGAGAGCATGACTTGGCAAGAACTAGGAATTATTCTTTAAAATACACCCTGATATTATCCATTCTAATATTCGTCCTGTGAAGCTTGAAAAATTCCATATGACCATCTTGGCTGTAATGGTGTCTGGGATGGTGCGACAAATCACACTTGGTTTTGCATTAGAGGGTGACTTGTAGAAATATGCTGTTCTTCTGAGCTGCTGATCTAAGAATGTGTGCTTGATTATGACATATCACACAGTCTGTTCTCTCAAGACAATAGTCACAGGAGTCTGTTCCGTTAATGTTAGCTGCCAAAAGGTGTTATACTGGCACTAGTTTCATCATTTGGAGTTGTTATAACTCTATTATAGATGATCGCTTGAATTCTTATATTTCATTTTCAGAGAAAATATTTCGTACATTTGTTTAATGACAGATGTAGACCCCAATCTCAGTTTTCATTGTATCCATCTATATTGCTAATATACCATATGTGACACTTAGCTTAAGTGGTATTTATAACGTCACTGATTACTTTAACCTTCCTTTGCTGTCATATTTCAAACTCCAAGCAGCTAAAGGCACAGGCAGTATTTTTAGGTCTGTGCTTTTGTAGTTCAGAGTTTAAAAGGTTTTTACTGTAGCTAGCCTTGTAGCCAAACTCCATAAATATAAAAAAGTTGATCAAAACCCTAATTGCTGTAACCTTTTTTTAGAGAGCACCATTTCAATTTATTCCAAATAGATTGATCTGTTAAATATTTAAAGCAGTTTTTAATGTACGGTTTTTTTCCCTCTCGAGTACAGGCCCTTTAAAAATAAAACTCATGTTGATCTAGAGATCTAGTCTCTGTATGTGTGTGTACACGTGTGTGTATAGTAACTCCCATGAAAATGGCCTATAAACAGCAAAGTTACTATAAGCTGTAAGTTCATGATCCTGCAGACATGCATGTACTTAAAGTTAAGCATATGTTCACGTGCTTGCAGGATCGGGCCTAACTCAGCAAAGACTGATCTGGCAATACTATTTCTTTTTAGAAAATAGTCAGTAACGTCTTTGGAAATCACAAGCAAATATTACACACACATACTCTACCTCTGTGTGTGTGTATTATAATATTATAACCAGATGCAAGATTACTTTGACTGCTTTTTTCTGTTATTGTCCTTAATTACATCTACACAAAAAACCAGCCAGTTGGTTCACCTGAATCCGTTTTAAAATTGCTTGAGTGCCAGTGTACACAAGGCACTGCTGGCAGTATCTAAAATGGGTTGGAATGTTTTTTAACTTGTCTGAGGTGTAGACGAAGCCTTACATGTGGTGAAAATTATTTTGGTTGTATCAGTCTTTGTTCGCTCCATTAGCAAATCTCCATGAAGCAGTACACCATAAACTGTTAGTACGTTGCTCCCCTTCTGTGGCTCAGAAATATACTGTAAACACCTGCTTAGTGCCATTAACATGGACCTCTGTAGAATCCACAAAATGTTTCCTGAGTACAAAGAACAAATCTCTGGAGAGGCTGAGGTTTTATTTATCTGTAGCTATCAAATTCTGCCTCTGTGTTCAGAGCACGTACTGCCATTTATGAGGGTTGTGGAATTTAAAGGCAAAATATTTAAGTCGTCTCCCACACTTATGTGAGCGGTCTCGCTGATCAGGACCTTAATTTCCAATCTGGCCGTCTTCTGCCATAAAGTTTTAGTGCATGTCTGTAAGAGATTTCAAGGATCCAACATAAAGGGAACCAACAAAAAGAAACAGAGATTGTATGAAAGCTAGAGGAGCTTGTCATCAGAGCAAGCTTCTCATATTCTTTTTTCTAAATGCTGAATCAAGTAGAAAAATACCTGAAGGTGTTTCTGGATGTGCAAGTTTTTAAAGACCATCGATTCTGCCACACTGGGGGACCTTCTTCTTCATTCACCAGTTTTTGGAATCTACATAATTTGAATTCTGCTCCCTTTTGGCCGATACTTTAATAGTCAGAAGGAAAGGTGGCCTGCTCATCAGTATCACAGCAGCAGTGGCTCTGTGAGTTCTCCCCACACCTCTTGATCTCCAGAATGAAACTGTCAACCAGAGACGTTCTGAGGGCCAGATTAGGTTAGGCACCTTTCAAGAAAGTGAGGTGCCTAACCTGCTTAGGCACTTTTGTAAATCCCACTAGGTGCCTAAATAGAGTTGCAAATTTGGCCTTGCAAGCTTTCAGGCTAAAGCACCTCTAAATGCTCATCTGAGAGAGGACCTACTCCACATTAGAACATCAGAGAAGGGACTCCCTGAAGATGTGGAGTGAAATCCCCCAAAGTCCTCCCTGAGAGGCCACTTACTACTTCTGTAGTCAGAAGGCTAGATTCTTCTCGGGTACACCTGTGTAGCCACATTGACTTTAGCTGTGTTACACTGATTTACACCTCTATGAGATGTACATGGACAAAACAAGCCAACTTTGAAGTTTCTAGCTTGTTGGAGATAGCACAAAATACCCAATCACATTATATTGGGAAAAGTGCTTTTTTAATGCTTGAAGAATTCAGTGGCTTAACCCATTTCACTCAAAAAACATAATTTCACTCTTGGGTTGAGCATCAGCACGGACAATTTTATCCCAATAGGAACTTTGTTTTAAAAAAAAGAAAGTGACAAACAACTGAAAAATGAGAATGAAACGGGAATTCATCTTTAACTTCAGTGGGTGCCAGCACCTCCCACCAAAATACTTCATCATTTCATAAGATTTTTAATCTAGGCCCATTATAGATGGCACACAAATCACACCATCCAGCGCTAAACTATAGGCGCCATGTCACACCTTTTTTTTCCTTTAATACCTTTTATAGGGAAATCTCAAGGTCAGTAAGGCAGCAGATTGGAGAGTTGGCATGTTTCATTAGCTGACTGCAACTTCTTATTGACACCAGTTATATGACATATGAAACATTTATAGAGGTCACTTAGTGTTTATTGCAGTCATAATACTGCTTCTGTGACACAGACTGGTAAAATTACATATGGAAGGTCCATTCTGTTGTTTTGCTGGCACCTTGCAGCAACACTGTGGGTGTCTGCCTGAAGCTTTTCCATTATTAATTCCATTTCCAGGAGTTTATAACTTTCAGCTGTTTCAGTTGCAACTGGCTAAAATTTACCACACAGAGCTGGATTCAAAGACTCTGAAGAAGGTGTAATTTATGTGTCTTTCAGTTAGCCTGGCTCCTTGAACTACTGGGGGGGGAGGGGGAAGGGGGATTCCTTTATGAAGGGAGGGGGCAGGAACAGTTGATATCTCCTGTCCTCAGGTAGAGGCAGTTTTACAGTCTGCGCCGGCAGATACTTGTCATCAGATGCTTCCAAAGGGATGCATGAAATCAGTTGTCTTTGTGTTGTCTTTTTCAGCTTCAACCTCTCTAGTGCCAGAGACTCAGCATGAAATTCACTAGGAATTTTGCTCTGGCTATTGATTTTTCATGGAAGGTGCTCAGATACTACGATGATGGGCAGCAGTATAAAACCTGAGGATAGTCAATGTTGTTAGAATGATTTTTCATCTTCATTTAATTTCTGACAAATGTTAAGTGCACAGATATCTGTGAAAGAGGGTGAATGTTGGTGTGTTGTTTTTCTTAAATGCAAACCAAGACTTCACTGGAGATTAGCTCATGAAGTCTTGGTTTGGGGGAAAATAGACATAAATCATCATTATGCTTTGTTTATGAATGGCAAAAATCTCGTCCATCCATAGTATTGGTTATGGATTCTTTGGGCCAGATTCTAAGGTGCGGTATTCAAGTGGGCATTGCTGCTTAAACTCTAATGGAACTTGCACTTGGGCCCAACATTAAAATCTGGCTAAACAACCATTTTGACCAGCCTCAGTAGGTTCACCCCAATTCAATGGGGATCCTTCATCATAGAGGCTTGTACACACTCAGCGGCCAGTTGCTGGCTTAGCAGGGGAAGGGGACATGGATGGGACACCCTGAAAGTACATTGATTCATGGCTGCTGTTTTGGCCCTTGAGATCATTTGCAGTTGATATAAATCTGAGCAGCCTGAACTGCTCTAACTGGTGGACAGACCTCACACAAAATAGACGCAGGACCAGAAGAGCATAATGCCACCTTTGCGCTTCCGATACACTCCTTCTGACTTGCATTATATGAAGTTCAGCTGGACCCTAGGATCTGACCCACTGTGACTCTAAATCAAAATGGGCTAACTCAGGGGGCAGATAAACATGATTTTAAATCCTGCATGAATCTAGCAATAAAAAGAAATGTAGGATGTGAATGGTTTTCATCAGCATGTTGTCACCATAAACAATGAGATAGAAACTGACCATAAAGCCTTAGAAGCTATCATTAAAAAAGCCTTTGAATGGAACAGACTTCAGAATACAAAGATTGTTTTTGAGATTACAAAAGGTACCAGGCACATGTCAAGTAAAACGTTAGTTGAGGCAGATTAAAATCTCATATTTACCAGAAAACTGAGAGTCTCCTGTAACATTGTACAGAAACATAATGAATATACTCACTGAAAAAACCTACAGATCCCAGCTGATCAAACTGCAGGAACTGATACATGAATTGTTTTGAGGATGCAGAATTGCAGTCTGAAACAGGATACTTGAGGGATGGACGGAGGCAAGAGATAGATCTCATCCTGAGCTCATCTTTCCTTTTCCTGTGTGGGTGGAGCGGTTTCTGGGAGTTAGTGAGATAGGTAACATTTTCAAATGTGGGCGTTTTGACCTCAATGGGTGAGCAGTAGAACTGATCAAATATTTTCCAATGGAAGGTTTTTCTGTGGGAAAAAGTCATTTTGTTGACATCAAAACTTTCCACGGGAATGTGTCACTTTTGACAATTTTGTTTTCAAAAGAATGGAAGCAAAGTATTTCAGCAAGGTTAAAAGTGCTCAGTTTCAACCTTATTGGAATAGAATGTTTTGATCATTTTAAAATGATTTTTCATT